CCCGACAGTTTGGATCGTGTTAGGATTGGTACATCCCCTCCTTTCCCTTTCCTAGACCAGCTTGTTCCTGGTCTTGGGCTATCCGTATTAGGGTACTACCGCGTCTTTTACGGTGGCCTGTCTTAGCAACGCTGGCCCCAAAAAGAGCCGCGCCGCTGGTGTAATAATTGTATCCGATCCGAGGGGGATAGATAATTGCTGACCTCCCCCACCAATTATTCGGTGCTGGTTTACATTATTCGACCTTGAATCTCTTTTACAGCAGTGTTTCTCCAGCCTCAAATGCTCTTTTGCTGCCACTCGAGCCATATCGAGTAGTCCTCTCAATGGGTGTCTTACCTAGCATAGATTCTCGTCCTCGTTTGGTTTTCCCAAATACTCCCCCAGAGTCGACAAGCCCTGGCGCATCGACCTATTCTACTAACTCATCTGCGGACCGACCTTGGATCTCGCCAGCTCCTACATCGCCTTCCATGAACAACTATGACAAGTCTCTGACAACAGAAATGCCTGCAGATCAGAAGATGAATGGTGAACAATCAAGGCCAGAGTCCACCCCACAAGCTGCACCTCGACAACAACTTCCTTCCTTGAGTAGTATCTTCGGACCTCCACCACCAACTGGCCGACCAGCACACTCGCCCCTTTCAGAGCACAACAACTCTTATTCCACTACATCTCCGCTGGATCGCACTCGTGCGCCATCTGGTGACAGACATCATTCAACATCGTACTTCCCGCCCACTTTGTCACCTTCATTATCACAACCACGCACCTACGACAACAAATTCGATGCAGACCGACACCCAGCCCATGGCCTCCCACGGTCTTACTCTGGTTCAGCTTCTCCTAGATTCCGCAACGGCGAACATGTCCGCCAGGAGTCAGTTACCGAAGGGCAATCTGGTCGATGGCCTGCTCACCAGGAAAGTCGATCTGAGTACTCTCTGGGATCTCGAGATGGTTCATTTCGACCGCCACAGGACCAATTTCGGCTTCACTTTCCAAGTCCTAAGGAACGTGTGATTCCCACTTACAACGATCAGGGATCTTCACAAGGAGCTCCAATCCCTCCACCAACACCAAGCACCACGGCGACTGATGGTGTTCCTTCAAAGGATGGACTGGGCCCCAAGATCTGGACTGGAACACATTTCTTGCCTAGATTTGTCAGGGCCACTGAAGTGCCAGGCGAGGGAATGTGCTACTTCTACGATGATGGCAGTCACTGCAAGACCGTAATCGATGGTGAGGCCGTAAACGCTCACTGGGGTGTAACCAAGGCTGGGAAACCCAGAAAACGACTTGCGATTGCATGTGTGACATGCCGTGAGAAGAAGATAAAATGCGATCCTGACTATCCTCGATGCGTTCAGTGCGAGAAGTTTGGTCGCGTGTGCAAATTCAAGAATGCGTGAGTTCTGTTTCGATCAATCACTCCGAGTCAGATTTGTTAACATTCTCTAGGCCTCGAGGAGGGCATAACACATCACCATCGACACCACCGGCTGAGCTTGACGATGTCAGGACATTGAATGGGCCAACCATTCCCAATGAGAGCGAGAACAGTTCGCCGGTGTCGCCACGAACTAATATCCGTCCCCAGTCTCCAGAGTCGGGCTCACACAAGAGGCTTCGATCGGGATATGACAGTTACGTTTCGATGGGTGAGCCAGTGCATGCACTACCGCCTGTTGAGGCTCCCAGATCTCATGTCCCCATTCAACCTCCCGCAATTGAGCTCCCTCGAATTTCCGAAGATGTGCTCAACCAAGCCTGGCGAACTGACCCTTCCCTTTCCGATCCCCAGTCTATTCGTTCGGTGATCTCTCACTTTTTCGTCCACCTCGACAGCACCATGATCGTGCGATTCATCCCCGAGAACGTCTTCAAGGCATGGGTTGTAAACCAAGGGCACCGCAAAACGCCAGAGGACTTGATGATCCTGTACAGCATTCTCGCTGTCGGTGTTGCCCTCTCTGGCGGACCGAAATCCATCGCTTTTGAGTATGCATCTGTTGCACACTATGCTCAGAAATTCACCACAGCCAACTGTATTCAGTTGGTTCAGACTAGAGTCTTACTGGCACTATACTATATTTCAATTTCCCGCTCATCTGAAGCTAATGAGATGATCTCAGCAGCGGTGGCTTCGGCAGCTTGCCTTCAGTTGAACGTCGAGATCGAAGAGTCAAAGGAAGCCGGCCTAGTCACCTTTCCGTTCGGAATGAACAAGGCTGGGTACTGCGAAGCCAGGAGAAGGACTTTCTGGTCTCTTTACATGCTAGAGCGCCTTGACGGTCGTTTCCCTGATCATTTGGCCATGATCAACGCCGAAGATATCTATATTCGCCTACCCGCCGACGGTCAGAGCTTCGAGCGTGAGATGGATGGATTTGCTCCTGTCTTCAACCCTTACGTCTCCAGCGTTGCTACGGCGCAAGACCGTGAGCTTGGCATTTCAGCGTACCTAGTCCAGATGGTACACATTTGGTCTAACGACGTATGCCGGATTTATAGGATGGCTCGACGAGCGAATGTGATGGAAGGGGATCTGGAGTCATCTCAACGACTCCTGAAGCGCATTCAAGAGTGGCGCAACGCCTTGCCTCCCCGGCTGGCTTTTACCGCTTCGAACCTTGAGTCTGCAGCGCTAGCAGGTGAGCTGGGACCTTTCTTGACCATGCACCTTCTTTACAACCATGCCATGATCAAGCTCAGCCGCCATACGCTGGCAGCTGGACGCCTTTCGCCTCAAGTTACATCTCACAACATACAAACATGCTATGAACATGCAACACAAGTGTTGGATATGGCCAAGGCACTTTTACGACTTCATCGTGGAGGCCAGACAGTCCTCAGTGGACCTGCGCCAGTTCTAGCCATGGTTTTGGCGGAAGCTGTTGATGTTTTCACAGCAAGTGGCCGTCTTTCCCACCTAAGTGACATCATTGAGAATGTGCACATGGTTCAGGGAGTGGTTCAGGCCATGTTTGCCATTTGGGACAACGTGCGGAACGCGCAAGAGGCGATTGATGGACGCCTCGCAATGCTGCATCGCATTCGAGAGCGAGGCAGCCAACCGGTCAGTCCTATGGAAGGCTACCGAGTCTTTTATAGTTCTGAAGGACGCGAAGAAGAGAAGATTCTTCGTTGGCAAATCAACAGCCCAATGGAGAAGCTGTATCCTCGGGACATGGATACCATTTACTATCTACAATGATTTGAGCAAGCGGATTGCATGAAATATCTGGCACTGGCCACACGACGCTGATTTTCTACCGTTTTTGTATCATTTGCATCTTGCTGCATTGACGACACTGCAGGCATGGTGTTGGGCATCAGAATTGGGGGGGGCATGGCGTTATATACATAGCATACGATGACAAGCAGTCAGTTGATTGCCTTGTCGCTTGTTTGTTCCCGGATAGAGGGACTTGTACTGTTTTCTATATTATTCCCCATTGTATGATACATCTTATTACGCACATAAAGGGAGGAGTTCTGGCGTCTTACCCTCTGAGATTTGATCTCGAGTGAGCTGAGCGTTCTTGAGCCAGGCAGGCACCAAGATGATTAGGCATCTGGTCCACACCACGTCTGTTGAAATATAATTGACGTCCAACGCTTTGTTGGACTTGAACACAAGATGAGATGACTTTCGGAGCAAATACTGTTTGCAGTGAGTGACCAGACCAACCTGAATCTCCTCGAGTGGTTGTTACAGGCTGAGACAATACCGTCTGGAGCCGCTTTCGACAAGGGGCTTGAGCAGTTTCATGGATGCGACCATGTCTAGTGTGCGGCGTGATCTTCCTGTGACATGCCCTTCTCATGTTAGAGCCAGACTCTGTCAAGTCCATGTGTCGTTCCCACAGTTAACGACCAGACGTCTCTTTTTCAAAGGCCCTGCAACTCGTGTCAACACGAATGCCATGTTCCTCACATCAATGGGTAGCCATTCGTCTGCGGCAACAATATGGATCATGACTGACACAATCTCATAGGTGCCGATCTCGTATCTCGGAAGGATCCTCTCATCCTCCAGCAGACATGAACGAATATGGTACCGGATTCCGTAAGCACAGAGGATTTGGATGCTATGCTGGGAACAAGCGCTCGGAAATGACCCACGAAGGTAGCGTGAAGCCTGTGATAAGAGGCTTGGCAGAGTATTGGTTGGCGGGATAGCGAAATAGGCGGATGAGAACGGACTCGAGGGAAGGGAATCCCGGCATCAATTTTGGGGGAGGGTTTGTTGGTTGGGGGCCGTTGAAGCTGTGGGTTGTGTAAGTGGTTCTTGATGGCCTCAGAGTCCAGACAGACAGAGGTGGAACTGACTGAAGGGCGGAGGGGGCGGTATCGCTTCGCAACCTCGGCTGAATGCTCAGCAAAGGCCGGGACATTCATTGTAATTTCAATACTGCAGTGGGATTGAGATTCTATTTCGTAAGATATTGGTTGTTGGTTGTGAAATGATGCCCAACTTGATCACGATACTAATTACCACGTACTGCTTGCTGGCTTGACCAACGCAGCCTCATCTACGTACCTCATTAATACCAGCTTCCTATCTCGTCTACTGCCAAAAGAAGCCGACATGACACGTACATACGTGTACCACAGATTGCTTTGCCTCTCGGCATATGAGGTACTTATTGTGCCCAAATAACCTCGCATGTTCTCCATGTACATCATCATGAAATTCTGCATCTGCAAGGTGGCCTATGGTTACACTGCAGTGACCTTTTTTTCGTACATACATATGTACTAAGGTAACGGTCGAGGGGTTGAAGGGGAGGGGGAGTGTGGCTATCCGTATAATTAGCCCGATTTTCCTTACAGCACCGTCCATCCATCCAGAATCATCGTGTTGCATAGAGATATGCAGCTAGCCTGATTAGGTAATGCACTGGAAACATGCATCTGCCGCAGAAACGTCAGAGCTTCTCTCCTCTCACTCTTTACTTGACAATATCAATAATTATCAATATCCTGCAATGGGGTTTCCAGATAAGCCATCTGCTCATCTCTTGGGCGCCAATGGTTAGTTCCCCCATATATTTTCTCTTGGCTTCAGGCGTGGCGTATCTACCCCATCATATCATATCATATCATGTCATATCCCACCAACTGGTAGCAATTTCAAGGCATATGCCGCGCTGTCGCTTACACTAACACACACACTGAAAGGCCCGGTCCATGCCCTTGCATACTCCGCCTCTCCAGGCACCTACATCCTCACCGGTTCAGCGGACCGATCTATCCGCCTCTACAACCCATTTCCCAGCACATCTGGTCCTGGTGATCGCCACAGCGTTGTTCCTCAGGGTCGACTGATTCAGACTTATGCTGCTCACGGCTATGAAGTCTTGAGCCTCTCTGTCGCTGCCGATAATGAACGGTTTGTGTCGGCTGGTGGTGACCGCAGTGTGTTCCTTTGGGACGTGAGCACTGCTGTTACGACTAAGCGATTTGGCGGTAACGTCCATGGCCACACGGCTCGTATTAATTGTGTGAGCTTTGCGGGAGAAGGTGATTCTATTATTGTCAGCGCAGGCTTTGACACTACGGTGAGATTGTGGGATACGAAGAGCAACAGCTTCAAGCCTATACAGGTTCTCGACGATGCCAACGATGCCGTGACATGTCTCGTTGTCCGTGGCCCCGAAGTCCTCGCAGGGAGCGTCGATGGCCGTGTACGCAGCTACGATATCCGCATGGGAAAAGTCACAACCGATGTGATAGGCGCACCCGTTACGAGTCTCAGTCTCACCCGCGATGGACGCACCATGTTGGTCGGGAGTCTCGACAACAAACTCCGACTGATGGACCGCGACAATGGCTCCTGTCTCCGCGCATACACCGACCCAGGATGGAAGAACGAAGATGTCAAGCTGCAGGCGCTGCTGGGCGGCAAAGAGAAGTACGTAGTGGTTGGCGATGCGATGGCCGGTGAGCCTGCACCTAACGGACATGGAAGGATATGGGCTTGGGATTTGTTGACGGGAAAGGTGGCGGCTAAAGTGACAGTTCCTTGGGGGCCAGAAGGGTTTGAACCAAAGAAGAAGGCTGTTGGCCGGGATGGAAAGGAGAAGGTGAGGAGTAATGTTGTGAGTTGCATGGCGTGGAGGGAGGATGGTTGGGGAGATCAGTTCTGCGTTGGTGGAACATCAGGCGTGGTGACGGTCTACGGAGCCTTGTAGACATCTATCTATTATACCCATTACTTTCAAGATCGAGATCAAGCGAGATAGCGTCTTTGTTTATTCTCGAATCTAATACATCATCATCAAAAGCGTTTTCCAATTCGTACAGACAAGATATTGTCCATCATGATACCCCCTTGCAGCTTGCTTGAACATTAATAGCTTCCTACCAGCGCCAAATCGTTATCAAAATTGCCAGAAATAAAAACTCTGTACCCCTTTCTATGCATCAAATATTGTCAAAATGTTATAGGAGACAAAACTTGTTAGCCCATACCAGCGTACTTGAACCAGTTGGGTCGACAGTCTTCTCGATGCAGCCAGGCCTCACCATCAGTGAGACGGCCAGTTACACAGCCCTTACACTTTGGTGAGTTGGGACAGTTGAAGAAGGGGATGTGTTGATAACCAATATCACGGAACCTGACACATTTTGTTAGTCTCCTGTATGTGGAAGAATGGTTGAATACGAACCAGTGAATCTTGCTCTGGTCTTCAAACAGACCGAGGGCAATACTATGGACTGGAGCATCACCCCATCGCTCATAGAAGAATCCGCCTGCATGATCGAGGTGGTTGAAGTAGTCCTCGTAAGTTTTACTCCTCCAAAATGACATATCCGCAATCTCAAAATTACTCCAGAAATGGCACGTCGAATACCCCTGAGCCTTTCTATTTGTGGAAGGCCGACGAATATCATCGGTGACCCAAGCTACGGCGCTGTTCTCGTGGATTGCATGAGGATGCTCAGCAAGAAATTTGACTGTCTCGGGCCACAACGAAGGTAGGGTTTTGGGATCGTCATATAGGTTGATGGTAAAGCCGTATGTCTTGTTGTTATCGTGCATGTAGCGAAAGACATCGTAGTCAACATCGCAGAAGAAGTGCACGTTAGGCTCGACACGCCAGTAGTAGCGAATATCCTTCAGGGCTGGATGCTTGTAGAAGAGACCGCTGTTCCATCGACACATTTGGTGGTATGATATCTTGCTTGCATATTGGACGCCGTTCTTTTCGAGGATCTTGGCGGATTCTTGAAAGAGCTCTTCGTCGATCCAAGAGGGCATGTCCCAATGTTCCTTGGGGATGATTTCTGGTTGTGGTATCAGCATGTCCCCCTGTCTTCTCTCTCCTCTTCCTAGACAAGGACCTACCGTAGTTACATTTCGCCTTCGTAGCTGCTCTCGTCTTCCTCTTGAACTCTTCGGTGAAAGGTTTATCGTTGAAAAACGTCCAGGGGTAGTTAAACTTGGAGTTCCACGTCCTTTCGAGATCCCTCATCGACATGACCATGGCATCCACCTCCTCGTTTCGCACAAGCGCTAATAGCGTCGCATCGATGCGCTCCGTGTTTTTCGCATCGTGGGCATATCTCGGACTCGTACGATGTAACACTCCTTCTGGTTCATCGGTAGCTGTTATATCAGTTAGCAACAGTTGACGTTGATGCTCTTTGCGACTTACGATCCAGCATGGGATCCCGCTCAAAATTGGAGTAGCGATCACCGGGACCTCTTAACGACCATGATGGAGCAAATATCTGCCATAGAAAGAAACACCAGAGAATACACCCGCCGGCGATCAACGCCCTAACTGGCCGCGCAACCGTCATGTTGTGCTCGACAGGATATCGCCAGATGAACCAGGGTTATTACAACGCCAAAAAAGAAGGGGACGAGGCTCAAACATCCATGAGTGGAAAAGAAAATGTACAGCGATAGCGACCAAAGGATGTAACTTATAGCTCGAGAGCAAATTGTCTCTTGAATTGTAGAATCGTTTCAAGCTCCAAGTATGTGAAAGGGGTTTCGAATAATTGAAGCTGATGTCACGAAAGCTAAGCCAATCAGCGCTGATAAGAGCTATCGTTGTAGTGGAGCTTGGACCCTGTTGACGCGACTGACGCGCCATCAACCACTGAAACCCCCGCCAAATAATTCGTTACCAGTCATGATACAACAGCCATTTAACATGATACCGCGCGAGACATGAGAGACGACCATGGCATTTGCTGCAAGGCTGGGTGCTCTCACCGGGGAGCTCGTTGAGGCTGTTACTAGCTCATCAGCTGAGGTATGACCTCTCTTCATCACATCTTTGGGGATATGTATTCATGATTTCAGACAAACCCTCGATTCAAGGCCCAGCGTGACGCTGCTTTGCAAAGACTAAAGTCGCATCCATACCTGCGAACGAATCAATTCGAAGTCGAACACCAGCTGGACGGTCTGGAAGAGCGATTCCGCGTCAATGGCCGAGATGCACTTGCTGATGCGCTCATCGAGCGCCGGGAGCAGCTCCGACAAATACACTCGAATTTCCACCCCGAAGTTCTATACCTGATACTAGAACTCTCAGATCAACCGACATATTACTCAAAACTGAGCGACCTAGATGCGCTGAAAACGGGGCCAAGCGATTCAGAGCTCGAACTGCGTTGGGAGGATATTGCCAAGGAAGATGGGTGGGAAGACGACCCTGCGATTTGGAAGACAATAAAATACACCGACAGTTCAGATGATGAGCTTTACGAAGATGACTCCAAGAGTGAATCAGAAGCCAGCACCAACCCATCTGATGTCCCTCTTGGGCGAACAGCCGAAGACCTGATCACCAGCCCTGAGGATATGACGAAACTGCACGAGATTCGAGGAGCGCAAGGATGGCGGACAGAAAAGCCCACAGATGCATCTGGCCATGCTCGAAAAGTCCCTGTAACTGAATTCCAGATCGTTCGAGAGGTTTTGTTCATGCTGCAAGGACTCGATACGACACTCTTTGGACCCAATGGCACCGTCAACCCAGCATTTCAGATGGGCCATCTGAAATGGGATACTCACAAAGCCCTTCTGAGCTATTTCTCTGAAGCAGGACGACAATTGGGTATTCTGCGAGACTTCGTCAGCAAGCCACAACGAGCATCGCATATTCAGGTTCTCCAGGACACTGTGGCTAAGCGACTCGACGATCTAGATAGAAAGTCAACGGGTATAGAGTCACGGCTTGTTGCGCCTGAGAACACTGTGGTTGTCAGCTTATTGTCGATCAAGGGAGAGTTGGCAACATCGCTTGAACCATTGTATTCTCTTTCAAATATCATCGCTCAGATACAGAACGTGCCCAATCAAGGTACCTTTCGGCATCTTGAGCTTCTTTTTGACGATGCAAGCATGGCGCAACTATCCGGAAAGCTAGACGTTTACGAGTTTCTGGCACGCATTTTTGTCGAGTGCTTCAATGTTTACCTACGCCCAATTCGGCTCTGGATGGAAGAGGGCAAACTCATTCCCGGTGACAAGATCTTCTTCGTATCACAGGTCCCAAGCCAAGTATCACCTAGCAAGATCTGGCGCGAACAATTCAGGCTGCGTAGGACGGCCGATGGGAAGTTGCATGCCCCTAATTTCCTCCAGCCAGCAGCTGCCAAGATCTTCAATGCTGGCAAAAACATCGTCATCTTGAAGCGATTAGGCCGCTGGATCTCGCCAGGCTCGGAATGGACGATCCAGGAGCCTCCACTACACTATGATACGCTTTGTCCTAAAGGGCTTGAGCTTGCGCCGTTCTCAGAGCTTTTCGACGCTGCTTTTGATGCATGGATCCAGACCAAATACAACACATCCTCTACCACGCTGAGGAACACGCTGTTTGAAGAGTGCGGACTCTGGTCTGCTCTCGAAGCTATGGAGCGGCTGTATTTCATGTCTGATGGTGCCGCAACAGAAGCGTGGACTAGCAGCCTGTTCGGAAAACTAGATGCGCTGGATCCTAACTGGAACAACCGCTATAGCCTGACGAGTGTGGCACAAGAGGCATTCACAACTCTTGTCGACATGACGAGAATATCCATATATATCAGTCCTACGGGGCTAAAGGTGCCACTCCTCAAGGCTCGCGACTCTGTCAAGTCAGTTCTTCCGAGTACAAAAGTCAACTATCGAGTGGCATGGCCGATTCGCATGATTCTATCCGAAGACAGCAACACCCAGTACGATGCTATATTTACTCTTCTCCTGCAATTGAAGAGAGCCTTGTATGTTCTACATAAGCGCAAGATCCTGGAGAATTACTGGATCGATCATGATAACTGGGACGAACGTGCTCTTTATTATTCACTACGGAATAACCTCCTGTGGTTCTGCACTACTCTGCAGACTTATCTTGCGACGCTGGTCTTGGCACCTAACTGCGCTAAGATGAGGCAGGACATGCAAGAGGCTCACGATGTCGATGCCATGATGAGAGTTCATGCTGCATTCTTGAAACAGGTTGTTGATGAGGCATGTCTTGGGAGCAGATTGACACCGATCAGAGAATGCTTCCTCGATATGCTCGACCTGGCCATCAGACTAGAGCAAGCACAAACTGTCAACATGACAAAAGAGACAGAGCGGATGCAGCAGTTTTCTCGACTCTCAACCAGAAACCTTTCGCCTACGCCTGGAACACCTGGATTGAAGTCCAAGTACGTCGATAGCAGTGATGAAGAGGACGATGGGGAGGGGGATAGATCGAGGACCTTGAAGATGGGCAAGCCGTTTATGACTGTGCTCAAGGAGATTAAATCCGATTATGAGAGACACTTGCGTTTTGTTTGTGGCGGCTTACGCAGTGTTGCCAGAGCTACAAGCGATGCGCAGTCTGCAAAGTGGGATATACTAGCTGAGATGTTCCAAACAGGCTGTCGGGACGAAAGGCCAGGCTACTCTTGAGTCGCGATGTTGGGATTGGATATGAATATAATGATACCCCTTCTGAGCACACTGTTATCTTAAACGAGCCCGCGAAATGAACTACCATTCATTCTTGAGCTTATCCGCAAAGAACTGCATCAAAGGCAACACCTCATCTCTGTTCATTGGCATGCTCACCTCACGTCTCTTCCACTGGACGACCTTGACATCGTCGAACTCTCGCTTCACAGCATCGACAGCGTCGTCGTCAAGTTGACATACCAACACGCTTGTGCTGCTCTTGCTGCGATTCGTGACTGTAGACACCATAGATTGCGGTAAAGGTCCGCCGAGAGATATAGCACCTTTGAACTTCTTGTTACCTGGCGAAGTGCTCTCACCCTCGGAAACATCAGTGACCCGAGGGGTCTTGTTCAAAGAGGCTGCGAGACCAAGAGCAAGTGAGCCACCCTGCCCAAACCCAAAGAAAATGATATCTCTCATCTCCCACCCACACTTCTCAATAAGGGTTTCCCCGATCAACTTATCCATGATCAGATTCCGAGCCTTCTCGAAGCCAGAATCATCCGCAATGTCTCCCGTGCTGGGATCAACAGTGAGATCATCACCCCAATGATATCCCGGCCTATCACCGCCGAGAAGCGCAGCTGGCAGAACAGATGTACCGCGCACTGAAATAGCGAGAACGCCGGGAAGATTGAGGTTCTTGGCGAAAGAGGCGAAAGGAACATCGTGGTCGCCTAGACCGTGGAAGAGAATGAGGAATGTGGTGGTTGATTCTGGTGGTGAGGGGAAGTGAAGAGTGTGAGGGAGGGTGCTTGATAGAGGGGAGAAGTCGTCTTCAGTGGGGATTCGAGGAGGCATTTTCGTTGTGCTGTTTGTGAGTTGAAGTATAATGAAGTTGGTGGTTGTGAAGTTGAAGTTGTATGAATGGATAACGTGAGTGAGTTACCCAGACGGATGGGGAAACCCTCAGGCCTTGGATCAGGTGTCAAAAATAACCAATCAAAATCTCTACTAAGATCACGATGAGTCCGCCCTAGTTTCAGCTATACTTGCCTAAGCATTTTTGTCACTCAGTGTCAAAGTCTCGAGTTACATGTTTCATCCACTGCCAATATCTCTCCACAACCCCCCCACATTTGACGACATACTGAGGTGTAGGTAGTACATACCTACAGCATACAAGAGTACAAACAGAAAAGTCAAGTATGACGAATACAAGCAAATAAAATAACAGAAGCTTCCTATTTTATGGTGTTTTGCTGCGAATTCACCTCGAACAATGAATGCAAGAGCACTACGAACTCGGCTCCAGTGTGCTTCTTTGCCAATTTCGTGGGAGTCGAGTTCCTATCTGAGACTTCCACGCCTTGTAATCAAATCGCATAGTCCTCCAAGCCCCTTGATCACCAGCATCTGTGAATACCAATCCCGCAAGTTCTTTCGGCTCTTCTCTGTCTATAAACTCGATCAAACATGGTGTAAGAACATAAGCGCTGGTTTGGTGCCAACCGAGCTTGTATTCCTCTTCCGCAGATTGCACTTGTACCGCCCTACCCAGGACCCCGGACCCAGGTTGACCTTCGACAAGTGACGTGAAACGACCGCGTGGTGCAAGCGAGTATCCGCGGACTTTGGCATTTCGTAGTTTGGGGGGTTCAGAGGATTCAAGCACCGCTTGGAGCACGGTCGGCTGCCTGAGACTATCGTAGAAGAAGTAATAGACGGGCTTGTAGTGATATGGGCACGGATCAGGAGGTTTCGGATTTGAATGAGCATATAAGGTACTGTCTGAAGAAGTAGGTTCGTCTTTATCCGACGATTCTTTCGGCTCAGACCCGGTCGGAGTTGTTTTGGGCGGAGTTTGAGGAATGGGAGGCAGAGGAGGAGGAGGTGGTGGTGGTTGTTTGCGCCGTTTGGCTCTAGTCATGCTGGTCGATAGAAGGGGAATTCGAATGGCGATCGAGAACTTGACATTTATAGAGTTAACAAGACAAAGTGTGCAAGCCGGTATATATTAGAGGATGATGTTCCAGCGCTGGATTTCGAAGTTGGTAGAAAGGTGTTTGTTGAAGCAGCCCAGTGTCAAACGCTGTTAGCGGAAGCTTGCAGTTCTGATCAGAACTGCCGACCTTGCTTTCCACCACCCTATCTTACATTATCCGTACCTTAAATCTGTCGTAGATACCTTCTCTAGGATGGCACGTCAGGTGTTTCCGCGGGCTGGTAGATTAATCGGGTTATACCTACCAATTCTACATCACGTCTAGACGTTATTTCCTAGAGCAACACATATAGCAGACAAAGAGCACAAAGACTCTGAACTAGGGGGCCAAAGAAATACAATGGTATTCATATTTGTTCATTATCATGCTTGTAATAGTAAAATCTAACTCTTGCTTACGCTCTTGTCGGAAAAGACAGTCACCTACCTGCATTGCCTTGTCTGCCTCAGCTGTCTTATTTCCAGCTGCTTTCTCCTTATCTGACTTGTTGGATCCGACCTTGTCTTCTGGAAGTTTCTTATCAGGTATCCTTCTTCTCCTTCTCCTTCTCCTTCTCCTTCTCCTTCTCCTTCTCTATCTTCCCATTCTCTATCTTCTCCTTCTCCTTATCATTCATCCCCTTCTTCATCTGCTCCTTCTCGAACTTCTCCTAGTCCTTCTTATCTCTCCTTGTCCGACTTACTAAGCTCCGCATTCCAAATCCTGGCCTTATTTTCCTGAGACTGAAAGCATAACTTGATCATCGGCTTGACACACATCTTACCAACGTTCACTAAAATCGCCGAAATGACTTTATCCACTCACTTAACCAACTTATTGTTGTCCAAACTGCGGGCCTTTAACCGTGAGGGTCCAGGCTTCATCTTGTTCCACTCGCCATCTGCTGTCCAGATGCCGGCCTTGGTATAGTCTCCACTTTCACTTCCATCCATATATGCAAAGCGGAAGTACTCTGGCAAGTCCAAAGTGCTGTTTCTGCTCCAGACAAAGCTACGCTCCTCATCAACATCGCCGAAGTATGTACGGAAACGCTCGACGTCGTTCACCAGGATACTTATCCCATCGTACAGCTGCCGTGGCGGCTCGTTCCATGTGAATGTGATGTTTGACAATGTATCCGTGCCATTGGCAAGGTGAATGACAGGCTCGGTGATTGATGGTAATTTGGATCCCTTTTGAGCATCCCCCTGTAGAGCTTCAGAGGTTTGGAGCACAGGGTCAAAGCCCCATCGAGCGATACCACTAATGAAGAGCCCAACGAGAAGTCCCTGGTATAGAAGAGACGGCCTTGTCTGCATACTCGTTCCAGGAAGAAGCAGGAGCGCAATGATGTAGTGATGAATCCGCAGATTGAGTCTCGGAATGGTAAGGGAGATGAGGATGGCCCCGACAAGGAGTGCGTAGAGCTTGAGGTATTTGATCAAGCGTCCTTCTTTCCGGAAGAACCACACCTGTGAACAGACAATGGCGACAAGCACGATTATGATGATAGCAAGGGCTGCCCTAGCCCCTGGTTGCTGGTTCAGATCGTGCTTGTTGAGGCGCGAAATGGGGATGAAGCTAAGGGTATAGTTCTCCATTCCACCAACCCAGCATCCGCCGAGCCACAAGATTGTCTTTTCGACCTGTGCTGTGAGACCCTTGAGAGTGCGACGAACACCCATCTTGTCGTACATGACCCAAGCACAAAACATTGCAGGGAGGAACTTTCCGATCAAGTTGGAGAACAAAGACGCAACTGTTCTTGATGGAGGCGGGTCAAGTGCCATACCAACAGTCCAGAAGATGCCCGTGAAGATGGTGAAGAAGAAGAGCGCAGCCGAATTGGTGAAGAGAGACAAAACTCCACCAAAGACGGTTGAAACAGCCAACAAATCCCATCGCGAATCGATCGCGGAGCATTTGACATCTGGAACGAAGCGGAAGGACAATGGGAAATGAGAGTCAAATCCTATACTTGAGATACCATGGTGTCTGGACGCAGCATAATTCTCACTGCGGCCAACCAACTCAACAACACCACAACCGCCGTCTTGGTTCGAAACGACGCCGGCGTGGATAGCAGCAGCACATACGAAGGAGTCTCCGCGGTACACAGGCTCAGCAGACCCATTGGTACCCGGCCCTCCTACGACCATGGGTGCATAGATGAGCTCTTGGTCCCCAACCGCTCTGGGGTTCAAGACATGGTAGTTTTCGCAATTGGCCCTGCACTTGAATGGAAAACCGCTGCCATTGAAAGGGCGACAGTCGCTTCCATCCAGTCCGCACAGGTTCCCGGCGGCCCAATATGAAACACCGCATCCAATGGTTTGCGGTGTGCCCCATCCTTCGATCTCACTAGCCATGGTGTCGCGGCGTTTAACGAGAGCGAAAGTGACGATCCAAATGGATAGATAGCAGAAGACGAGCCAAAATCGGTGTTTGAGATTAGGAATGAAGCCGTCGACAAGGACGAGGGGGTATTCCTGGATAGCTGGGAAGAGTGGTTTAATGCGAAAAGGCTGAGGGTTTGCAGGGCCGTGAGACCATTTCACAACCCATTTCGAAGCTCGCCGAACGGGGTATGGGACCCAATTCCACCTCTTCCAGGTAGTCTCATCTTGGATGAACCGTGGGGTCGAGGGGCCGCTGTCATCGACTTCGAGTGTCGTTCCGGTATCGAGCGGCGCATCAGGATGGGTATAGGCATTCTCGCGATCCGAATCGCTGCCGCTGCCGCTGACGGGCACGACGCCGACGTCTATAGAATCGGTGCGAGCCATGAGAGGTTGTGATTCTTCGTCGTCTTCATGGCTCAACATTTCCGGGATATGGAAGAAGATATGAGGAATGGATTGCGTATACGAGAGCTAATGGCCTCTGGGCTTGGGCTTGGGCTTGGCTTGGCTCGGCGGATTTGCCTGCTCCGGAAGACCCGGTGCCGAAGGATGCAGAGGAAATGTGGAGAATGGGGAGCGCTTATCGATGTTGGTGTTTCGTGAGGATCCTATCGTGTCACACTTTTGTTTTCGTTTTCCGACGTGGGTGCGGGGAGATGTGAGACTGATGATAGGCGATGTTGAGTTGATGATGGTTTGGCAATTCATACTGAGGTTTTAGACCCAAAGCCTCTTTGTCCACTCAGTTACATCGTGTACCTCGATCGCTGAGACATGGGTGTCAGACCCGACGTAACCGTAACCCTGGGGTATCGCTGTATCTATCCGTGAGAGATTTATGATAGTGATTGGTTGAGCATCAGCCCTGTGGCCACTGAACTGGAGCTAGTTCCCGTGAGACGCTGCGCTAAGAAGCAGGAACAGCGTGCGCCACTTTTATTCACCTCCAGTAGAAATGCACGCGACCACAACTCTACACCTAAATGCTGTATACACTTCAGTGACTATGTTAGAGCTAGGGTACGGATTTCCAAAAAGATGTTAGGTTATAGAGATATATCTCGATCTTTGAGTGACACAGTATTACATACACAACAGTTCAGTTGTTGCATCTATTGTTTGTTTGTTGAACAGCATAACAGCCCAACACCCAGAGTCCCGGGAGTTTTCGAGTCTAGCTAACGAGAAACTTACACAATTTTGTTTCACTGCGGTGAAGCTTCTTTCTCTTCATCCAGCATTCTCGGGCCTTTGCTATTATTCAGGCATCGCAAGTCAAGAAGTAACAAGCAAACACGCAGCCGGATGGCATCGCATCATAGATAAACCTGTAGACCCTCGGGACTGTAGGAATTCTGACAGTCGAGGCCTGCATTGCGTCAACCTTCTATAGGATTGATGGTGGACACAGCATCACCTCCATGTTACAAAGAAACTTGCAGCTAAGTTTAAGTTTGTTGGTTTGGTGCTCCAATAATTTTGTGCCCTGAATAGCCAGCTGATTGATAAAAACTGTCTTTTCCAGTGACATTCATATATAATCTCTTCTACAAACCGTGTGATTTTACAACCTCATCATATCAACCATCGCTCAATTGAAGATATGATCACCACTCTCCAGAAACCATTCTCTCAAAGTCATGCCGTACTCCGTACCGGGGCTTCAGTATTCTCGAGATTATCTCGGTTCCATATCGCGAACCCCCTAGCACATTTTCCACGACGCCAATGGCGACCACCTATCTTTCGCCCGCAGCATCAAACCCGAGGACTACGAACACGATCACCTCTAGCCACACTTCCCTCCCGTGGTCTGTCAATGAACGAGAAGCTTGACGAACCCATGACGTTCGCAGCAAGATTCGAGCAGGAATACAAAGCGGCGGAAAGTATCAAACAACGTCTTGCGGCTTTTGCCAAGTATCGAGAGTCCCTTGCTCCGGCTGCTGAGCGAGAAGATCCAGAGTCTCTTGCACGAAAGCTCATCGCAGAACATGAGTATGAATTGAGGGAGGCTAAGATGGATGGAATCGGTAAGCAAACCCAGCATTCTGTGTTGACTCTATACTAAGAATCTGCTAGCGACATGTGTGTCTTTCATTTGGTACATGCTCGTCATTATCTCGATGTTTATAAACCTAATGCGATTTATTTCCAAAGACGGCGAGGCGCCCCCTAAGCCAGAATCGAGAAGCTTAGAGGAGAAAGATACTCCCCAGGCTGGCTCTACAAAGACTTATAGGAGGAAGACCAACAAACCTGAGTCGGAAACCCCTGGGATAAAATGCTCATGCCATCGCCCACTTGAGCTCGATAATAAACGAGTGCTGTGACATCGGGTATCATGATGGACCGCCCACTCGGGATCAGCCTCATGGAGCTTCACCTATGGATCTTTGACTCCTGAGGTTTGAGGCCAGCACTGAAATCTCGCCACTCTTTTTTTCCTTGTTTGTAGATTAGATAGATACCCTCAACTCAATCTTTTCATATAGTAGTCGCTTGGCCTTAGCTTCCGATCACCAGATACGACTGAACATCCC